GTGGTATTAAATCTCTAATTCTGTCTATGTTGGCAAAAAGCTATCCAGGCTGAGGGAAGAGCTTGTGCAAAAGCCTCGGGCATTTCATGAGGCAGGAGAGTGCTTCCTGGGGGAAGAACAAGGGGCCTGGATGCCTGGTGACAGTAGGGAGCAGAGGGGGAGGCGGATCCTGTAGGACTCTGTAGGCCATTGTAAGAAAATTGGAAATCATTGCAGGATTTGGGGAGAGGAATGACTAGAACCAAGTGATGCTGCAACCGGGTATTTCTGGCAGTAAACTGAGAGACATTAGAAGATGAATGATGGTACCTGGAAACAAGGTGGTAGTAATGGAAGTGGTGAGAAATGTCCTGGATCTATTTTGGTGGAGAGCTGATATAATCTGTTGATCGATAGATTAGGGATATGAGAGAAAGATAGGTCCAGGATGACTCAGAGGTCAAGACATTAGAGACTGAAACTATACAATTGCCATCAAATGAGAGGGAGGATCAGAAATTTGTTTGCAAATGTAAATTTTTGATGCCCAAATGAGAAAGAAATATTTTGTAAACCCTTAAGCAGCACCTCGTATGGGGTAGCTATTTCCATTCATATTTAAATTTCAGAAAGTAGATTGAGAAGTAGAAAAAAAATCTGGAACTAGATCATTCTCTTGCTTTCATCTATTCATTTATTTAGTTACTAACTACTGTAATTTCTTACACATTTAAAACTAGGTACTAGGTGCTGACAGAGGTAGAAAAATGTTCATAAGAGAATTATGCTACCAACATGCCTATAATTTAATAGTGGTGCCTGCCTGATAAAAGAGGGAAGTGTGTGTCATGAGCACAAGTCAAGTGCATGGTGTTTGGGTGTACAAGAGTGATTATGAGGAGATGACATTGTGAGATGGCTTGAAAAATTGATTGGCTTTTTATATCTCAGGGGGGAAATTGTTATATCACCGAAGCCAGAAAGACTATGAAAGAAGAAAGAGTTTTCTTATTTGTTAATGATTCAGAGAGCTTGTTGAAGGAATCTGTAGGAAAAACCTAGACTAGGCTTTCTCAAGAAGTTTTGGGAATTAAGCCCTGATGCTCACCTTATGTAATGAATGTTCTTGTCTCATATGCATCTAGAATGAAACTAGCTATGTACCATTATTGGGAGAACAGAGAAAACTGTTTCATGGTTAGAAAAAAGGCTGCTCTACTCTGTACAGGTTTTAAATTCAAGGTTATATTTAATTAGTATAGAATATCTCAGCTTCTTGTCAAACTTCCATATCTAACCCAATAAGAAATAAGATGGGCGGTTGACTTGATGTCTGCTGAGCTCAACATCAGGTAAGAGGCTATGTAGGTAAGTGAAAATAGCAAAAGAAATGAAAGAAATTGCTCTCACTCTTGAAGATTATATAATCTAATCGGGAGGGCAAAAGCAAGGACAAATACGTGAGAACAACTTTACAGCACAATCTAAATGTTGACCAGTGATATCATATTCTTTGAGTGTGGACAAGGAAAGGTAGAGTGGTAATTTGCACTAAAGAATAATCATGCTTGGCTAAGTTGAAGCAGAGAGGACATTCTTGACAGTGTGAATCAAAATATTGCCAAGGCATTAATTCATCAACTTTTTTAAAATTAAAAACATTTTCTTTCTTTATTGATTTTAGAGAGAGAGAGAGGAACAGAGAGGGAGAGAGATAGACACATCAATGAGAGCAAATATCAACTGGTCACCTCCTGCATGCCCTACACTGGGGATTTGGCCTGTAACCCGGGCATGTACCCTAACTAGGAATCGAAGCAGTAACCCCTTGGTGCATGGGTTGATGCTCAACCACTGAGCGACACCAGCCGGGGTGATTCATCAATTTTTAAAAATGGACATTTGAGCAGGGATTTTATGAGCTAAACAATTGAGACTATAGAGATGCTGGTATTCAAATGGTATTCCCTGATATATATATATATATATATATATACACACACACACACACACACACACACACTTCTTTTCTTCACTCATATTTGTGCTTCTCAAATCTGCTGGATTTTCGTCTTCTGAAGGCTGAGATCTATCTAACACTTGAACTGTGAAAAATGTCCCCTTTCATCGGCTCTTTTCACTGATAGTTGTAACATTTCCTTTTGGAAATCACTGAGTGCTACCTACACAAAACACACACTCCAACCTGAAAACTTTGAGGGGAATGCAAGCTCCCATAAAGATGAATTCTGCACCCCCTGTGTCTGGATAACTAACTGATAAAGCTTTCTCTCTTAGGATGCAGAACTTCCTAAGGGATTCTGAGGTACCACTCTTTGGACTCAGCAGGGCTCTTCAGCTTTGGGGCTCTCTATGCCATTCCAGAAATATCCTAAACACACTGGAGAGCAGAGAATCACACTGTAGATTTCCAGATCCCATTTCGACAGCACATTGCCGAAACCAACAATTTGTATTGGGAGCATCTGGAGGTGAAATGTGAAAGGGCAGGTGCTGCTGCAGGTGGAGGGGGGTGATGGGGATGCTTTCTGAGGCTGGCATAGCATGACAGCACCCATGTTACCCCAGCGCATTGCAACACCTCGTAAGTGATGCAGAGCACTTAATGAGTCGGGACTGAAAACTTTAATTAGCTTGTACGGCTTTTTATTATTTTATTTTTTTGTTCATTATATTTTCTGCTCAGTCTCTGTGGATGTACTGCATTTTCATCATCAAATGACTGGCTGGCTCTTTTTGTCAAACAAGAACCCCGAAACCATCAAGTGAGTGCGGAGACAGTCTGCCCGCTCTGTCAACAGGATGAAAGTGAGTCTCGGGCTTTTTTTAATTACAAGGATAACATGTTCGCTCATCTAATAATGAAGATGGTTAGCAATTTTAAATTTTAATAATCAATTACTGAAAGTAATTCTCCATTAAACCACAAGAGAGCCATTAAATCTCAAAAGATGGAACATGCTGTATGTAACAGTAGCAAATTTTCTATTTTTAAATATCATTAGGGAATATCTGATGGTTTCATTTCTCTGCATTTCTTTTACCTTTTCCTCATGCAGACCATCTCATTTTCTGCAGGAAGACAGCACATGATCTTATAAATAATAAAAGAAAACCCTTGCAAGACTTGATCCAGGGGTGTGAAATATGTGCTAAGAATGTAATTTATTTCAGTCGGGTATATTTTGACTGAATAATAAGGAAGGTGACTAATTAATATTATACTATGCTGTGGGCAAGGCAGCACAGTGGGCTAATCCACGCTCCTTTCACCTCTGGAGACCGGCGTTCAAGCCTCAGAGGAGTCACAACTGCTGAGCACAGGTTGGGGGCAGGGAGGGAAGGCGTCAGATGTCTTTTCCTGGCTGTGGAGACCCCTGTCCATATTCTAAAACCACCTTCAACATCAGCCTCTGCTCTGAGGAAATGAGCGGAAAGACAAATGATTGCTACTTGGCTGTGGCAATTTGGCCGACACACATGTCAGGGGGAGAAAACTCCGTGACAGCTTCACTGCCCCAGCTCCAGCCTGGTTCAGCCAGCTCACTTTCATCCCACTTAAACATTTGGAAATAGATGGAATAAAAGAAAGTGTGTGTGTGTGTGTGTGTGTGTGTGTGTGTGTGTGTGTTCACGTAAGATGTTGGATTGGACTGGGGCACAATAACAAAATGGTCAGAAAACGATGAATTATTTAGAATCAAATTAGCCTAAGTTTCCATTAGAAGCAACCGAATCTATTTCTGCAGTAGCCAGATCTCAAGGAGTGGTTTGGTACTGGGCTTTATTTCTAAGGCATTTGATTAGTTTTCAGACGATGGGAAGGCCACTTTGGATCTAACCAATGTTACTGCACTCTTCACCTCCCTCCCCAACCACCACCACGTGGTTTATGGGATGCAGGGAACCTGACTACCTTGAGTATCATAAACTCCATGGCCAGAGATAAGGTTCTTAGCATGTTGATTATTTTTCTGATGGAAACTGTACCTGTGTTTTTGGACTGTACTAGCCTTTCCAGGGAGTAGTTTGTGCTTCCCTGGAAAGGGTCAAAGCAGAAAGTCTGCCAAGCCAGGTGGGTAAAGGGGATTCACGGCATGGATAATTAAAATGCAGTTCCTTTGTACTTGTTCACAGAAAATTTTGTTTCTGGATATTGTAGAGTTCCTGTTCGCTCATTCTGCTACTTGGATGTCAATCTTCACTAGAACCATTGGCAGGGAGAAGCTGGCTTGGTGGAAATGAGGGTATGTTGGAGTTCTCCTGGTGAAAGTTGAATTTCTGTGCATGGAGGGAAAGGAGAGGCAGAAGAAAGAAGCAGACTACTCCAGATGGGTAGGTGGCAGGTTTAATAAGCAAGGGAACCTACATAACTAGGCCTGTATTGGGCCATCGCAAGATAGATTTCTGCACCTGCCTGTAAGAATCATAAACGTTTGCATAGAGGTCTTAACGAAGTTCTGTCATACACATAGTCCAGACGGTCTCAGTACCACATTACTCTCTCGAGGCTCCCAGTACAGGAATGGTGAGCACAATGTATATTTCAAGGACAGGAGTAGAAGTAAGGAGCCTCGATTGCCCTCGTTCAACTTGCGGGTCAACTGGCAGTCACATCCTTTCAGTGACATACTCCATCAGGAAAATGTGATGCATATTGACTTTGCTAGCAATCTAATAGGTAACCTAGTAAGGAGAGTAAGAAGAAAATATTTGTTAGGTTATGCGAATGCCAATTATCCAGTTATGATGACTAATTCATGTTCTACCTATGTACTATTAGTATGTGTAACTAGGTGTGAGAGTTATATAGACAGATGGATGGATGGATAGATAGATAGATAGATAGATAGATAGATAGATAGATAGATAGATAGATAGATAGATAGATGATAGATCTCTATATAGAGAGATCTATCTATCTAAATGTATATAAACTTTGAGACATGTATTTACTTTCCCAGATCACCAATTGTGTATTAGTATAAGTGAACTATCATTATTATATCTCCTCAAAAATACTTAGCACTGTTGAGGAACTATGACACCCTATGGAGAACCTCAATCTTTGGTTATAGAATTAAGAGTTCCTGGCTTCACAGCCCCATAAGCCCTCTTTGAACAGAAAGACTCATCACCTCTGGATGACTCATGCTGTGGAAAGGGATCCACATCACTGGGTTTAGTTCTGCTTCATACCTGCATTCTCAAGTATTCTTCCACACCCCATTTTCTATAGAAACAATATGGTCCTTCAAAATGGGACCTGTAGGAAATATTGTTTCTTTTATTTAAAATCTGTATTTAGAGACAAATTACAGCTCTTGATGTTGTGGTTTAGTGAAGCTACTATTTTGGGGGCATGTGTGTTACTTCTGTAATGGATGTAAACATAAGGTGATCCAGGGCATGAAGACTTTAACTTCATGCTGCCTGCAAGCTTTTTGAGGATGTTTTTGATTGATCCCTGGGGTGCATGATGATAACTGAGCAACATACATTGGGTCCGCAGCTATTTGGTTTGGAGGTCAGGGTGTGAATCTCTCCCCTGGGAGTCTTTACTGCTTCAGAGTGGGAGAGAGTCAACTCTTAGTGGCTTCCCCAAGGAATATCTGATACTCCACAGACAGTTGGAGGGAAAAGGATGTGACAAATCCTCCTCCTCTCCCCAGTGGTGTTTAGGGTGTTCCCAAAGGTGGAAAAGTTGTCCATGGCATCATTGAAAGCAGAATCCTATTCCACAGAGAGGATGTCAAAATTAGCAGGGGCCACTCAAGGGAATCCTCTACTGCTTACCAAGAAGCCAAGAACAGAATAAGGACAAAGCCTATGGGAGACCTAATCTAACACCCAGTGGAGGAATGGAGAAGCAATTTGATAATCTTTCTAGAAGGCTCAGGGCTAGAATCATAGAAAGTTAGGAGAAACATTTAGGAAAGCTCTAAGCTTAGGCTCTCAGATTATGAATGAGGATTGGAATGATGTGAAGATCAATGAGTAGCCCTACCTACACCTACACTGAGGACCGCTGATTTAAAGCAGTAGGTTTGTTGCATTATGAGATTATGTACAGCGAGGCAAATGATTTTCTAATATGATGCAATGCAGCAAGGATGTGATGTGGTGGAGAAGGTTTGGGCTTTGAAACCTCAGACACTTATTAGCTCTATGAAATTGTGTAGTTTATTTAATCTCTTTAAGCCTCATTGTTCTCATCTGTTACGTGAAGGTCTAAGTAGTATAAGTCTTTCAGCTTCAGCCCTATTGATGTGCTGAATTGGATATTCTTTGTTGTCATGTGCACCAAAGGTTGGTTATCAGAATTCCTGGCCTCTACCCCTGACATGCCAATAGCACTATTCTGGAAACCAAAATGACTCCAGACATTGCAAAATGACCCCTTATGTGAAAATGGTCCCACTGCAATAGTGTAACAGTGAGATTCTATATAAAACACTTGGCATGATATCTGGCATGTAATAATTGCTCAATAGACATTAGATATTATTTTGCCCATTGATTAAAAATGTGAGCAGTGTTTCTACTAGATATTAAATAATACCAGATATTAGAGATACCATTCAATCTTTCAGGTAAATTGTAAATGTTCTTGGTCCAGAGTTTCAACTGGCACTCCTGTCCTTTGCTTTGAATAGAAGATATTTTTTTTTTTAAAGAAGCATTTCTTTTACTATGTTCACATGCTTGGTTTGCGAATACTATGCAGATATACTCACAGCTAATCTGGAAGAGGATTTGCAGAACGGTAGCTGCATGATTGATTGATTAAACACTGCAGTGCTCATAGCATATTCCGGGAGAACAATTATAAGTTCCCCAATGTAATACATGTCTTGATGTTGAGCAGCTGCCCAAAATATTCTTACATGGAAAAGACATTCATGACAATTATATGTAGGCTTTCATTAAAATATGTTTATATTGTTTCTGAACCATAGAATACTCACTGACGTTGCTGACATAATCTAAAGAATAAGGATTGTCTTCATTTCTGTTTATCATGCACATTTAATATCTCATCTTTGGGGGCTATCATTTGATAGCATGTACAGTAATACAATAATTCAAAGTGTAATTCTAGCTTCTTCTTGAATTTAGTGACTGAAAAGCAGGCCACACAACATAATCTACTGAATCTGGGCTTCAAACTCTCACTACTTCTTCAGCAAAAGCAAACTTTAGGCTGCTAATAAGAATAGGCATGACTAACCAAGGTAATTTCTTCTTGCATTAATCTTAAACTCTCTAAGAGTCATCAAGGTTCTATTTTTTTAGCTCCAGGTTGAAATGTTGAATTTTGCAGAAAGCATTAAACATTATACAAGGGGGATTAAATCAAAACAGAAGACACAACTGCCATTAAGACAACATTCAAGGGAAATGGGGGGAAATCTAAGAGCCCCTGGTTTCACATCTATATATGTGTATTTTTTAAAAGAAAACACTGGGCTCAGAAGAACTACCTTTCAATTTGTATTGCAAATATTTGGGTTTGGTTTTTTAGAGTGAAACTCCTACAGTAATTTTTGGAACACTGATTTAACAGAATCTTTAGGTAAAACCTCTAGGAAAAAGGAATATTAGAATCTGAATATTTATTTCACAAATCGCAAAGTCAATTTGAAGAACCAAATCAAAACAAAGTTGTTTTCACTTTCATTTAAAACTGTGCTGCATGATCTTTGAGGCCATCTGTCAATTGCCTTCCCTCCATGTCCCAGCTCTTGTTTCTTCTACAACTTTATTAGCCACAAATGGACATTCTCAATCTTACCTGATTTTCTCTTTGACCATTCATCTTCATGACTTGAAAATTTTTTAATTGAATTTATTGGGGTGACTTTGGTTAATAACAGCATATAGGTTTCAGGTATACAGTTCTACAATACATCATCTGTACATTGTATTGTGTGTTTACCACACCAAATCAGTCCCCTTCCCTCACCATTTATTCCCCTTTTACTCACTTTTACGTCACCCCACTCTCCCTTCCCTGTGGCAATCACCATACTGTTGTCTGTGTCCATGAGTATTTTTTTTTCTTTGCTTAATCCCTTCACCCTTCCCACCCAGCTCCTAACTCCCTCCCCTCTGACAAATGTCAGTCTGTTCTCTGTTTCCACTTTGTTAGTTTATTTTGTTCTTTAGATTCCACATATAAGTGAAATCATGTGGTTCTTGTCTTTCTCTGACTGGTTTATTTTGCTTAGTATAATGCTTTTCAGGTCTATCTGATGTCACAAAAGGTAAGATTTTCTTCTTTTTTATGGCGGAGAAGTATTCCATTGCGTAAATGTACCACTGCTTTTGTATTCACTGATCTACTGATGGGAACTTGGGCTGCTTCCAAATCTTGGCTATTTAAAACAATACTGCAGTGAACATAAGGATGCATATATTCTTTCAATTTTGTATGTTATAGGTCAACATTCCTCCTTTTAACTCTCTTTTCTAGTTACAGCTGTGCACACTGTTTGTGCCTTTATTGCATTTCTCCTCACTACTTAGGTGAATTTTTTGCTGTATTATTTTGCTCTGATTTGTATATTGCTTAGCAACTTTGTGATGATGCATGTGTTCATATCTTTCCAAGAAGATTGTTATATCATGGAAAGCATAGCCTGTCTTTGAATTTTATTTTTCTCCAAGTTTCCACAAAGGTGTTTTGAATATATAACAAGTATGTCTTGGGGGAATTAATGAATACTATGTTAAACTATTTTACAGTGAACTTTTATGCAGGGCTTCTTATTTAAACGTTTGATTTTGTAAGTGAATCTATATTATAACCAATAACAACATAAGAAATATCATTGAGTCAAATGGTACACTTTTATAATCTAGTTTAATTCTCATTTCCTGATGGAAAAACTGCATGGATATATAAATGAGTCACCTGGCAAAAACTCAATAATCAGCCCAAAAAGGTAACTGGATATTTCCACTCACAGCCCCCAGCTTTCATTTGTTATTATCACTTCCCCAATTAGTTAAATATTACCTATGAAAAGATACACTGATCTAAAATAGATGTAATTATCAGAGGTCACCTTATATGTTGTTAGAGGGGTAATGTATCATATTCCATGCTGGAGTTAAACTCAAGCTGAGAGAAGTACAGATTGAAGATTCAGGGCTGGCTTTGCCACTCCTTAACCTGGAGAACTCAGATGAGTAACTTTAACTCCAAGCTTTGTTTATTTTTCTGTAAAATGGGATTGATAATTGTACTTATTTTAAAACACCAACCACATCTAATTAGTAAATGTTACCTATAATTATTAACACTTTAGGGCTTTACAATTTAAAATATAACTTTTAATATTACTTCAATGTTTTATAGATACTACACATGGATTCCAATCCATATATTTTATGTTATACTTTAAGAAATATGTATCTTTCGCCCGGCTGGTGTGGCTCAGTGGTTGAGCATCGACCCAAGCATCACGAGGTCACTAGTTCAATTCCTGGTCAGGGCATATGCCCTGGTTGTGGGCCCAATCCCCAGTGGGGGGCATGCAGGAGGTGGTCAATCGATGTTCGCTCTTATTGATGTTTCTCTCTCTCTCTTCCTGTCCCTTTCTCTTTTTTCCTAATATCAATAAAGAAAAATAAAATAAAATAAAGAAATGTGTATCTTTTTACTCTACTTTGTCAATGTCCCTAGGAAAATTTATTTTAGTGATAATTTTCTCTAAACTACCTAGAGACAAAGTGGTTTTTTTTTAGTTTTTTGTTCAAATAATTTTGATAAGTACTTTTGTTTTTATTTTTAGAATTCTCATGATCTTGTTTTAAAACTAGCCATCAACATCCTTAAAAATCACTTTATAGTTTTTGTTATATATCTCCTTAAGGAAGTATGCTTTTATTTCAAAAAGTGGAATGATAAAAAATAATACTGAGATAGATTGCTTATTTTATTCTTATGCTGCACAGTATTTTATAACTACTTCTTTTAAAGCCATAGGTTGAATATAAATTCACATGAGGACTAAATAAGATTAATCTTATTAATTTTATATCTTATCTGCTTTAATTTTAACTCAGATAATTGGAAAAAAATAACTTTCTGTAAAATGAGTTACATAATATTATTA